TGTTTTTAAGAAGAGGAGATGATCGGCTAGTACCCCTAAACTGCATCCGAGGTGGTGGAAAAGAAGGTGATGGGATGTGTAGGATAGTTGGGAAGGTGGAAAGAGGAGAGGTAGTGGTCAAGAGGGGGAGGAAGGAAGAGGGAAGTAGGTAGGAAGGTGGAGGGAGTGTGGATGCAGGGGGGGGAACGCCGATTATTTCAGAATAGGCTTTTTATGTGCTTGTTTTTCTAATGAAATGCACCGTATTTGTATTATTTGTTCATATTTTATTTGAAAAAAATAATAAAAAATTTTAATAAAAAAAAACAAAAAAAACACACGAGTGAATAGAAACCCAAGCAAACTATTGAAGGGCTGCTCAATTTGCGTTCTCTCTATTTCAATAAGTGAACAGCAGGGCTTCCTTTGACATGAAAGATGCAAGTTACAATCAAGGAAGCAGCTGTTAAACAAGCTATAGGCCTGGTTCAAGTTAAATCTAAACCAGTCGAGCTGCGTTATGATTTACAGTAATGTGATATGTGAACCAGGCGGGGGTCCGTTTTGTTTTGCTTTGTTTTTAAGGTGGGAGGCTGATAAGATGGGAGCTCCTGTAAAACTTCCAGAATAGCCCTGAATTCATGATTTCTTTTTCAGAGAAAATTAATTCATGTGACCAAGAAAGGCAGAGTGCACTTGAGGAAGCCAAGCAGAATCCGCGTGAAGGAATTGTTATCCCTGAATGTGCCCCTGGAGGACTGTACAAACCGGTGCAGTGTCATCAGTCCACTGGCTATTGCTGGTGTGTTCTGGTAGACACAGGTCGCCCCCTACCTGGCACTTCCACCCGGTAAGAACAATTGGCTTCCAATTTCACCTTTAGACGAAATCAGTCACAGCATGGAGGTGGAATGGGCTTGGAGGAAGCAATCGCTAAAGAGGATTTACATCAGGGGTGGATAACCTTTTTCAACCTACAGTCCGATGAAATGTAGCGTCCCTCTATAAGTATGAAAAAGATAAAACAATTTGTTTGTGTCTGAAATGAGCGTATAAATGCTTAATGTCATGAGTGATTAAATTTGCTAGCTTCAAAATTATAATTATTTTGCTTAATTCCAGCCAGGTGTCAATCTATAACATAAAATTCGTTAAATGATTGTTGATATTTTATTAAAATTATGACTTTGTTTAAATTTCCTATTAATTGGGAAACAAATATTAGATTGAAGCCCTATATAATTCTTTTGAGTTTAGATAATCCAAACTTGCAAATAACTGATTAATACATGGAGTTTGACTTTTATTTATTTTCCTGGGATCTTTTGTTGGAATACCCTGGCCCATATTTACTGCGCCCTAGTAAAAGAATCCTTTTAGAATAGAATAACAGAGTTGGAAGGAATCGTGAAGGTCATCTAGTCCAACCCCCTGCTCAAGGGAGGAGACCCTATACAATTTCTGACAAGTGGCTGTCCAGTCTCTTCTTGAAAGTCTCCAGTGATGAAGCACCCACAACTTCTGACGGCAAACTGTTCCATTGGTTGATTGTTCTCACTGTCAGAAAATTTCTCTTTATTTCTAGGTTGAATCTCTCCTTGATCAGTTTATCTGTCCCTACATTCTCTTTGTGGCTTTCAGAGGCTTGATAGTAACAGTAAGATTTTTTTTACAGAGACATCTTAAAGTTTTAATATTGTAGTACAGGTAATCCTTGCTTACCAAACAATTATTCAATGACCGTTCTAAGTTGCAGTAGCACTGAATGAGTGGTACTTATGCTTGGTCAGAAGATTGTTATTCAGGCACTTATCAACTGACAGTCACAGGACAGTTGTAGTGCCCCACGGCGATTGCTATTTGCGATTTCCTGTCTTGGCTTCCAACCAGCAAAGTCAATGGAGAAACTGACAGGGAAGGTCACAAGTAAATCTCCCTGGCTTTCCTGTCCTCATACAGCAGGGTACCCTCCTTTCCTGACCTCCCTGGACTCACACTTGGCCGGCACCAGGCCCGCCCCCACCGCCCCTCCTCGTACCACTACTTTCCTTATCTGGGACTCCCACTGTTTCCCACTTAATATCTCACATGTCTTAGGGATTGTCATCATGAAGCAATGGGAGCATCAGACACCACTCTTTACAATTGCATCGCTTAGCGATAGCAATCCCGATCTCAATTGCTTTTGTAAACTGAGGAGTACTTTTCTTTTACCTACAATTAGCTTTTGGTTACATTTTATCTCTTAACATGTTTCAATATTATTATTGAAATGGGTATAATTTTTCTTGATCGCATTTTTTGCTGGTCTATGACCAAAATAAAGATTCAATTGACACCGCATGAATAATAATAATAAAAATTCTTTGTTACTTTTGCTATTTTTAATTAAACCCTCAAGGCTTCTTATAACATATAATAAAGTATAAAACATAGATACAATTAAAATGAAGATTTAAATAAAATTATTATTGTTAAACTCTGATAATGATTACTGGGAAAGGTAGCTTTTGATAGGTATTTTATTGAGAGACAGCAGAGTTGAATGAACTAACCCGGGAAGAGCATTTGATACTCTGGGAGTCACAGAAATAAAAAAGGCCCTCTCCCATGTGCCGAATAACTGTGCTAATCTTCAGAAGGACCTCTCCTGTTGATTTGGGTACATTCTTTGTGGGAGAGATGGTCCCTCAGATAAGGAATCCAAACTGTTTAGAGCCACCTCATCTGATAGGCAGCTGGTAGCCAGGGTAGATATCTCATGTTGTTGTATGCGATTCCTGCGTCTTGTTGTGATCAGCAGCCTAGTTATTGCATTTTGTACTAATTGTAATTTCCAGCCCTTTGTAAGAAATATTCCCATATCAGTAGTGGATCTCCATGCAACTGGCTCAAGAAGAGTAGCAGTTGGCACTAGTGGCAATTGTGCAAACATCCTCCTCATCACTCCAACCACCAGCGAGTACAGTGACAGATGGGTTCATAGAGTATCCCAAACTCTGAAGTCCTTTTTCTGAGGCAGGTGCCTCCTTATCCCAAACAGGCTTCCCTTCAATCTTCAGATGTACTTATTAACAGTGCCTCCATCATATCTGAATTAAATTTCAACTTGTTCTCCCTCATCTAAGCCCATTTAGGAAATATCCAAATTCATCAGGCATTTGGAGGCAGGCCATTTTATCTGATCTTCTATGTCTTCTGAGGTCTATAGCAGCCAACAGTTTTAAAATGATCTCCATATGATAACAGTTACAGAAAGAACCTTCCCTTTTGTTCCACAGGTCTAGTCCAGGGGTCTTCAAACTTGGCACTTTTATGACTTCTGGACTTCAACTCCCAGAATTCCTCAGCCAGGCACGTTGGCTGAGAAATTCTTGGAGTTGAAGTCCACAAGTCATAAAAGAGCCAAGGTTCCCTACCCCTGGCCTAGTCCTTTGAGTGCTCTGCTGTATATGTGAGGCAAGATATCAATTGGAAGAAATCCATCGTGGCAGCATGAAATCCTGAGCCACTTCTGACATGACAACCTCAGCATGGAAATTAAATTCCTCAAGACATAATATTTAGGACAGTCCTCTACTGTGGCAAAGATTGTCCCAACCAGTTCAGGAAGAAAGAGTTTCTTTAATAGGGTGGACAGTGCAATAACAGTATTTCCCAGTGTGATGGTCAACCTAATACAACAGCCAACCAGAAGCCTGGCAGCTTCTGGTCAATAAGAAGAATTTTTAATAGACAGAAGTACGAGAGAGAGGAGTTGGATCGCAGGGAGACTATTTATATTTAGTCTCCCCACCCCAAATCCAACTCCTAGATTTGATTACTTTTTACACTTTCAGAATCCCAATCTGCGTTTCCAAATAAAATCATGTGATATAGCAGTGATGGTGAACTTTTTAGAGACCGAGTGCCCACAAACTGCCCCACCCTCCACCTGCCCCCGAACCCCCCACTCTGCTCCTGCCCCACCTGCCTGCAGGGCCACCCACCGCCTCCACGGCCCGCCATAGATCGCCCACGTGGCCCAGCAGTGCCATGGTGGCCACACCCTCCGCCCACGCCCTGCAGCATCATCTGCGTGTGACGGGGCGTGAGGGCAGAGTCTTGTCCCCACAGCCCAGCTGCCATGTCCTTGGCTGCGCTGCTCCATGCGGGCTGTGTCCAGGGGCGAATCTCCTTGGGGGGGCTGCTAGTGAGGGGGCCATGAGGGGGAGGCAGGGCTGGGGCAACGGCACGTGTGCCCACAGAGAGGGCTCTGAGTGCCGCCTCTGGCATGTGTGCCATAGGTTCATCACCCCTGTGCTATAGTATTGTTTTGAAAGGAATAATATAGAAAATAAAAAATGATTTTTTTCGAGTCCCTGCTGTGTCTTGTATTTCCACAGGAGTTGGAGAATATGAAAGTTATTGTCACACATGCCTTAAGAATGTGCTGGTTTTTTTTATATATATATTTCCATTCTTTAGATATGAGACCCCTGTATGTGAAAGTGGTGCTCGATCCAGAAGTCCAGAAATTGACGATCCTTTCAAAGACCGAGAACTTCCAGGTAAAAATGAAGGAATAATAAAAGTGGTAAGGGTGTGAAGGGTCCCACCCATTGGCTGGATATAATTAGCCAGTGGACTATAGAGTTTTGTTTTGATGTTAAATCTTATATTTATACGATCACTTCACATCATATAATGTCAATAATGGTGACGACAATGACAAAATGTATGGAAAGAGGTCATTCCCATCCCCACTAAAATTAATTTGGGCTTGAACAGTTTCTTTTCCTGTCCTATTTTTTAGTTCTTTCCCATCAATTTGGTTTGACTCATGCATTCAAGGAATTTTTGTACAAACGTTGATTAAGTGTGAGGAATGTAGAAGGCATTCATAACGATGGAATAATTGTTCAGGGTTTTCTCTAGCGTGGGCAGTTGCTCATTTACATTCCTTCATTATTGCACAATGATCATGGTGGAACTGTAACATCCCGTTTTTTGTGTAGTGCTGGTAGTCCTCGACTTACGACCACAATTGAGTCCAAAATGTATGTTGTTAATTGAGACATTTGTTAAAGTGTGTTTTGCCCCATTTTACGACTTTTCTTGCCACAGTTGTTAAGTGAATCACTGCAGCTGTTAAATTAGTAACCCGGTTGTTAAGTGAATCTGGTTTCCCCATTGACTTTGCTCATTAGAAGATCGCAAAAGGGGATCATGTGACCCAGGGAAGTTGCAACTGTGATAAACGTGAGCCAGTTGACAAGATCTGAATGCAAATCACGTGACCATGGGGGATGCTGCAATGGTCATCAGTGTGAAAAATGGTCATAAGTCACTTTTTTCAGTGCTGTTGTAACTTTGAACGGTCACTAAGTGAACTGCTGTAAGTCGAGGACTTCCTGTACTGGCAGTATATAATTTAGTCACGTGCTAATGACACTCCATATTTCAAAGCTGTAGAAATTTCCAATATAGCTATACCAGGGGTAGGCAACCTTGGCTCTTTTATGACTCGTGGACTTCAACTCCCAGAATTCCTGAGCCAGCATGGCTCAGCTTGGAAACCTCTCCCTTTCCCCTCAGCATGGCTGGCTCAGGAATTCTGGGAGTTGAAGTCCAAGAGTCATAAAAGAGCCAAGGTTGCCTACCCCTGAGCTATACTGTATGTTCCTGCCAGTCGAAGCTTCATTGTGTGGACCCTCTGATTGTATTTCAATGAAAAGTAAGGAGATAATTGCATTATGATTTAAAACAGCTTTTCCCAACTAGTCAGCCTCCAGCTCTGTTGGGATTGTTACTATCCATGCTGTTTGAGACTTCTGGGACTTCCCAAGAGGTTAGGAAAAGTTAATTTAAATTTCTTCGTTAAGGATTGAAATCTATAAACTCCAGTGATTGTGCGTGATTGACTTTTCAGTGTCCATGACACCCCCCTTGCTCTTTTTTTAAAATTCTTATTGGGAGATTTAATGTATATTAACATGAAATACCCACAGTATGCATTTATGCAACTATGTTATAATTCCACCGGAACAACCAAAAGCATTTTTCTTAGAGAAATCAATCTTTGCCTCCTTCTTACTGGGTACAGCTCCATGAGATGCACATTTATTGTGGAAGAAGAAAATGCCTGTTGCTATTGAAGAACCAGTTGAGATTTCAACCTACTGAAAATATTTCATCAGAACTGTCTGAAACATAACATGGCAACAGTATAGACATGGAAAAAAGAAATCCGTTTTGTCTTCTGGTTTTTTTTTAAACAAAGTTGCTCTCCTTTCCAGGTTGCCCAGAAGGAAAAAAAGTAGAATTTATTACCAGTTTACTGGATGCTCTCACCACAGATATGGTACAGGCTATTAACTCAGCAGCACCTGCCGGAGGTGGAAGGTGAGTTTGGAAGCATTCAGGTGAAATAGAAATGAGACACCCAAAAACCTGTGTCTAGCCTGGACAATAACACAATTGCAGGAGGATGATACAAAGTAGAAACCTATGCTCTATGTACTGTCTTAGGAAAATCAAAGAGGCTTCCTCATATACAGGTAGTCCTTGATTTATGTTCACAATTCGGACTGAAATTTCCATTGTAAGTTGTTATGATGAAAACCACAACCTGACGGGACCGGATCTTTTTAAGATCATAAATTGAATCATTATGGTTATAACTTGAGTCACACAATTGGAAACCAATGAAAAAACAACTACCACAAATTGTGATAATGTGACTACGGGATACTGTTTGTAAATACAAGCTGCTTCCAAATATCCAGATTGTGATCACATAAGCATGGGGGAAGGACAATAGTCATAAATTTGAATTTAGGTCATAACTGACTTTTTTTGGAGGCTGTCACTAATTTGAATCACTATTACATAAATGATTGTAAGTCAAGGACTACCTGTATGTTTCCAAGTATCACTTCCCATTTTCATTATGAAAGAGATAAGCTCTTGCTTTTTGCTCTTGAGACACAAACAGTTACGGTTTGTACAATTCATACTGTATATAAAATGGGTCTCTTCTCTACAAAGGAGAACAAGTGAACCTTCTTCCATTTTACCTCACAGTTTTTCCTGCTTGGGTCACGTCTGCTACTGAAGTCAAGCAGAAGCAATGCAGTACAAAGAGTTCAGGAAAAGGAAGATTCCCCCCCCATTCCCTCAGTTTTTGGTGGATTTATGCTCCTGAACTATTCCTATATTTTATTCTTATGACCTTTAGTCTGAATCTCTGATGTCATTTAAAATATGGATGTACATGACTTATCTTTGGGGATTTTGGTTCTTCAGTAAAAATCTGTTCTGTTCTCAGTTGACTCACTAGTCAATATAACCTGGTTTACGCTTGCATAGCTATATGCCATCCAGTTGCTTCCACATGCTTAAATTAACATTAAGATACCTTCACAAGTTCTTCACATTCATATACATTTTTATTTGTTCTCACTGACTTTATCTCTCTGTGTTTGGTATTCACAACTCTATTCATGTGTAAGCTATTCTTTTCCTACATTTTTCATTTATGTCTAATATTCCATATTTTATTTTATTTTATTTTTGCAAATGGTGAGAACAGCCATTTCATTGACTTTGGAAAGGCCACTAAAAACTTAAAAGAACAATAGTAAAGAAAAGCCTAACAGCAAAGATGCTGCAGATTGCTGGCAGTTCTTGAAGAGAAGAATAGTTTTCTTCTCAACAAGCCATCATTGAACCTGCCATGTTGGACAATTTTTGTCCTGTTTCCAACCTCCCCTTTTTGTGATTTTACCACAACTACATAGGATTCTGGAAGAAGTGATTCTCTAGGCCTCTTTCAGTCAGGGTCCACACTGGAATATGGGACCAAAATAGCATTGATTATACTCTTGGATGGTCTGTGGTGGGGGCAGGATGGAGGTGGAGTGTCCAACCTGCCTCTTCAAGAGCTGTGGTGGCACAGTGGTTAGAATGCAGCATTGCAGGCTAACTCTGCTGACTGCCAGGAGTTTGATCCATACCAGCTCAAGGTTGACTCGGTCTTCCATCCTTCCAAGGTTGGTAAAATTGTTAGGGGCAAAATGCTGACTCTGTAAATCCCTTAGTGCTGTAAAGCACTATGAAGCAGTATATAAGTCTAAGTGCTATTGCTATTGCTATTCTTGATGTCTCAGGGGTTTTCAATACCCGTTGACCATGGTATCCTTCTGGACTGGATCTTAGGAGGTAGGAAGGGGCAGCTTTGTGGTGTGCTTCCTCCAGGGTCATTTCCAACTGCTGTTGATAGGGGAAAAGAGGTCTACCTTGTAGTCTTGGAATTTTGGGGTGCTCCAAAGCTTGATGCTCTGGGCATTGTGAGTATGCCTTAAAGGTGCTAGCTGAGAAGGAAAATTGGGAGTAGGCACTGTTCAGTCACCACTCCTGTGTGGTAAATCAAATATAGGTAGTGCTTAATGCACAACTATTCAATTAACGATTGTTCAGAATTAGTGACTTAATTAGAAACACTGCAGCATCCTCTCGGTCACGGGATCAGAATTTGGGCACCTGGCAGCCACCATGTATTTTATAACAATTGCAGCATCCCAGGGTCATGTAATTGCCCAGATGGCTTCCAACAAGCAAGGTCAATGGGGGGTGGGTGGGTGGAGGGGGAATCAGGATTTACTTAATGATTACAGGATTCACTTAATAGCTGCAGTGATTTGCCTAACAACCATGGTCATAAAACTGGATACAATTCACTTAACCACTGTCTTGCTTAGCACCAGAAATTCTGGTCCAAATTGTGGTTGTAAGTGGAGAACTACCTGTATGTGTTCTGAAGCTGTCTCTTATCAGTGAGAGGGGCAGCATATGAATTTGATAAATAACATAATACATAATAATGTGAGAAAATAGAATTGGCACCAATAATACCCATTTCTTCTCCTTTTATTTTATTACCGATGGAGGGCACCAATTGAAAAGAAGTGGGTGGGGGGAAATGGCTCTTTAGCCCATCCCCAAGTTAAAATTTCCCCAATGGATCAAGACCATTTTCCTCTAAGCCTATTGGATCCCGGAAGGCCAGGATCACTCTCAAAGGGGAAAAACACCCCTCTGAATGAAGCTCTTGATAGCATTAAAGTGTGTGTGTGTGTGTGTCTGTGCACAATATTTCAAATCTATACATGGCACTGATTATGTTATATCTTAATCTTTGTTCATGAACAATATGTATTAGACAGAGAAATGATGTCTAGGTTCATGCATCTATTCTATTTGGAATCTTGCTGGATCTGAATTGTATAGCTTGTAAGCGAAACAACTCTCGTGTGCTAGTTGTTTTTTCTTTCTACATTTGGGTTACATTGAACCACGATGTTAACCTTCAATTAATCTCGCAGAAGACAAGATTACAAATGATGCTGATTAACACAGACTTTGTGTGTTTATGTGTGCAAATCTCTTTCTGTTCCACTGTTTTCTTGCATGGCCTTCACTCAACTTACCGCTCACAAAACAGGTGTTCACCCAACAACTTGCCGCCTCTTGAAATTCCCATCAGATAGTTTGTTTAAGATAGGTGTTCAGACCGAAGACATCTTTGTGTCCAACATCTTTAAAATGGTTTGCAGAGGAAGCATTTTCACAGATAGTTGGAAGACGATAACAAAGTTCCACTTAGCATTTTCATTTCATTTCAGAATTTTAAAAACACTTTAATGTCCATTATCTCAGAAGTGGGCGTGGGTGGGTGTTTGGTTGGTTGGTTGAATTAGGAGCTGCTTAGATTTGTATCTTTTTCAGTCTTTTGTGGTCATGCAAGGCTTCCCTAAACATCTCTGGAAGAAAGAGGTCCAGCTGTCCCTAGAACAGTGGTTCTCAACCTTTTTAATGCCACAACCCCCAACCGGTCGTAAGTCGAGGACTAAACCGGTCGTAAGTCGAGGACTAAACCGGTCGTAAGTCGAGGACTACCCAACCGGTCGTAAGTCGAGGACTTTCCCTGCCCGGGAGCGCCGCGCATGCGTGGTTCCGCCCCCTGCGCCAGCTGAGGCGTAGCTGGCAAGCGGCAGAGACGGAGCAGGCCAACCACCAGCTGGCCCAGCTCAAGGAAGGTAAGGCACGCGCCGGAAAAGGGGAAAAAAATGGCGGACAGCCTTGCTTGGCGACCCCGTGAAATGGTCAATCGACCCCAAATGGGGTCACGACCCATAGGTTGAGAACCGCTGCCCTAGAAGCAGACCTCTGACAGGGTTGATTATAAGGACGGGAGTGTGTTAAGGATCTGGCCACCAGATTTCTGCCTGTGTTTCTATTTTGTATGTATCTGTGAGTGTGAGAGAAAAACATCTGGCCTGATACCATTATGCGTCTCCCAAGGTTCTCTGAGCCTGATCCCAGCCATACCCTGGAAGAGCGGGTGGTACATTGGTACTTCAGTCAGCTGGACAGCAATAACAGCAGCGACATCAACAAAAGGGAGATGAAACCCTTCAAGCGCTACCTGAAGAAGAAAGCCAAGCCCAAGAAATGTTCACGACGCTTCACTGACTACTGTGATCTCAACAAAGACAAGTCCATCTCGCTACAGGAATTGAAAGGCTGTTTGGGGGTCAGGAAGGAAGAAGGTTGGTGTGTCTTTTATGGAGTAGGGTGAACTAACAACTGGCTTTAGAATTCCGGCTGATTTGCTTTATTGTCCAAGTCGTTTTGTTTTGGTGGGATTGTGGCTTTTTTCTTGGGTGGGTGGGGGGAGGGGACAGTCGTTTCAAGGGAAGAAAAGGGCCAAGCAGCTGGTAATCTTGGTCATTTGGAGACAGGTTCTACTTCTTTGGTTAAGTGCAGATTTCCCTTGAAATAGTTCCATTAAAAAAAAAAAGTTATTATGCCTCGTAATGTCTTTCAAGAGAGGCAGTTTGGTGTAGTGATTAAGGCATCAGGCTAGAAGCCAGGAGATGGTACGTTTTAGGCCCACCTGAGGTACAATGCCAGGTGGGTAACCTTGGGCCAGTCACTCTGAGTCTTAGGAAGAAAGCAAAGCCAAAACCACTTCTAAAAAAGGTTGCCGGGAAGACTTCATGAACCTGCCTAGGCAGTCACCGGGAGTCAAGATTTTTCAGCTGTATAACTGGTTTCGAAATGCTACTGTTTACATTTATTTTTTCTTTTCTCTTTGGATTAAAACCATGATGTGTTAGGGTGAAGATTAAGCAAGCCCCATCCTGAGACACATTGCTAAGTACAGATTCCCTGGGTCTAATAATTCATTTGTACAATCATGGATTTTCTAAATTGCGTGTGTTGTAACCCCTATACCTTCTAGGATGTAATTAAAGATCAGTCTTTATACAGCACTGGGTCCTGTGCAATTATTTACTTGCAGCTCAGCCCATCTGTAGAAAGACTCTCTAGTGGCAATTTTCTTGCTCTCCCTGCCTCAATCTACCCTTAGCCTGGAGACATGCCACCTTGGGGGGAAAAAAATGAAACAAAATCCTTTATTAATACGAAAGGATATGTCCTATATTCAGAATTGCCCAGCTGTTTCCATTTTATTTTTCTGCAGATATTAATGAGTTTATTGCCCAGGAGAAGCCACTGAGTTCCTATTTTGAAGAAATTTAATAATGTTCATTGCTGTTTCTCTGATCTCAGTAAGGTAGATGCTTATCATAAAATAGGCCTTGTGATGTTCTTTGAGTGAATTGCTCATTATATGGATTTACATTTACTACTTTTCTAAAACTAAAGTAACCCAGGCAAGAAATTGGTTTAATGCTCTTTCTAATTCTAATGTGACGTATTTCAGGTATCATTGGCAGATTAGTCTTTGTATCTTCTTAAAGTGTAAAGCAATCACAGAACCAATATCTCAAGAGTTAACAGACAAAAGAATATTCTTTATATTTGCAGGTAGCATTGGCAGCTTCCCTCATGGAAAAAGGCAAGGAGTTAATCCTTTCGGTAAGTAGTTTTTATTGTTTTGATCGCCTTCCTATCCCATTGTAGATGCAATATTTATTAGTCAAGCTCTCTGCTCATATACCCTAATTGTTTTGGCAGCCTTATTACTTCTAATGAAAGTATCGCCCTCATTAGCTTGTTCAGTGGGAGATGTCTCGTGCCTTCTGGTCAATCCTAACTGCTGGCCTGAACCAGTCCCTGAAGTTTTCTTGATAAGATTTTCTGGACGTGGTTTTCCATTATCTGCTTCCTAGCGCTGAGACACAGTGATTGACCCAGCTGGTTTTGTGCTTAGGCAGGACTAGAACTCACAGTCTCCTGGTTTCTAGCCTGCTGCCTACGCCTAACTTGCTCCCTTAATCAATCTTTTAATAGGATTTAATTGGTTTGTCACCTTTTGTTTTCTTCTCTGTCTACAACTTCAGTAGGACGTCTTGTTTAAGAGGATATGCCATGGATGGATGAATGGAAGGATAGGATGCATGGCCATCTGAAAACATGTGGGACTGGCAACACCCAGTATAGCAGAAGTGACAGTCACAACATTTGCACTTTGTTAAAAAAAAGAAGAAGAAGAAGAAGAGAAAAATTGTCTACATATAATACAGGGTTGGTGGTGTTTTTTTTTAGTAATCTGAAGAAAAGAAGAACAACCATTGAAATTTGGAAAGAAAACTGAACATCTACTTGTGATTTAAATCTTGAGGATTGCTTGGACTTGAAAAAATGTTTAATATACTGTATATAAAATGTAAATTACACAGTGATTTTCTGTTGGTTACAGGATGACTATTTGATTTCTGCCCAGTTTTTTTTCCTTTTTAAGTAAGCCAAAAATGGTTGCACATAGACATTCTTTAGAACCTCATATCTGTGTATTTGGGTGTCATATTTGTCACTTATTTCTTTACCAGGCATTTATAGTGTTTTCTAATGAGCCCTGGTGGCACAGTGGTTAGAGTGCAGTACTACAGGCTACTTCTTTTGACTGCCAGCTGTCAGCAGTTCGACAGTTCAATTCTCACCGGATCAAGGTTGACTCAGCCTTCCATCCTTCCGAGGTCGGTAAAATGAGAACCCAGATTGTTGGGGGCAATATGCTGACTCTGTAAACCGCTTAGAGAGGGGCGTAAAGCACTGTGAAGTGGTATATAAGTCTAAGTGCTATTGCTATTGCTAACACCACCCAGTCTTTGTTAAGTGATGTAAGGTCTGCCTTCATTACTTTCATTATAGAGATTATACTGGATGGTTCTTTATAAAATGTTGTAATTCAGTGATGAGAAAACATCTAAATATGTAATCTAGGGCAGTGGTCCCCAATCCCAGTCCATGGACCGCTAGCAGCCTGCATCCCATTGGGAACTGGGCAACACAAGCATCTGGTGAGCGCATGAAGCTCCATTTGCACAAGTGGCAGGCGTGTGCGCGAAACCATCTCTCCCCCCCTCGCTACCGCTGCTGCCAGTCCTCAGAGCCAGAAAGGTTGGGGATCACTGATCTGGGGAATATTCAAGAAGTGTAAAAGTCAGCAGTATAAAATTATAAATGGGGGTAGGGACTTCATGGCTGTCCAGACATTGTTGGGCATTAATGTACACATATTTAGTCAACATATCCAGTGTTCACAGGCAGAAAAAAATGAGACAAAACCTCTCCCCAGTTCAAGAATCCAAAATAAAGCAGTCACAATATAACTGTCTAACCCTGCCTTGAGCACCACCTATGCACGGAGTCCATCCTGGACTCTTTGTTCCTTGAGTGAACCGTTCCTATTGATAGGAAGTTTCCCCCCCGCACCATTCAGAAGGAATCTCCCTTCAGTTCATTATTCTGGAACAAGAGAGGATTTTGGAATATATTTTGTGTGCAGTGTTCCTAATGTGGTGCCCACCATTGTGAGGACAGACTACTGGGATTAGATGTCCAGTCCAGCAGGAAGCTCACTGCTTATATTCTTAATTTCTTGGTCCTGGCTGTTTTAATGTTTAGGGAAAGCAAGAGTGAATTGCAACAATGGACTTTGGATTGTGGATCTTGAAGGTTTACTATACATAGGATAGGTGGAAGTTTGAAGCTGGGTAAAAACATTCTTTTTAAAATCTGTATTGAATCATTTCACAGGTTTACTGTAAAGTGAATTTTTGTCTTATGGATCGCCAGCACCCTCTTCTGGTTTCTCTGATGTATCACATACAATGAATGTGTCTTCAAACTCTTCTTTGCTACTGTGTTCTTTTTACTTTCTTTTGTTCACAACAATTATCCTGTCTGCAATGAAATTACTTTGCTTGAATATGTAGTGTAAAAAGTCTACTTTGTCCATATGAATGAAGAACAATTTGTAAAGAATGTTGTTAAAAGTATTTTTGTTCACGCGGGTCTTCCTCTCAGTCCTTTATACTTATTGCCAGAGAATCAGAGACCATGCCAAGTTCTTCTGCCACTTTGTCTTACTATTTTGTGAAAATGAATATTGTTTAGTTCTGTCAAAGGCTACAGTGTATCTGATCAGTGGCTCCTTTGGTTTGGTAGTCTTTCATCCAAGGAACTTCTTTTGGATTAGAGCAACGTATAAGTCCCAGTAAATTAATAAAGATACACAAACATTTTAACAACACTGAATCACATAATATTTCCTAAATTCCTCATTAAGATGCATACCCTTTGTATGAGGGTTTTTTGGTTGGATTTAGACCAAAGTCTGCCTCCTCCTCCTTCTTCTGACCCACCAGTAACTGAGCAGTCCTAATGGACAATCACTTAAACATGAGTCAGCAGTGTGCAGCAGCAGCCAAAAAACCTAATACAATCCTTGGTTGTATAAACAGAGGTATAGAATCAAAATCATGTGAAGTATTAGTATCACTTTGGAAATGAAAACATTCAAATAATGCAATGCAATCCAACAAGACAAATAATACAGTTATTTAAGGCAGTACATCTGCAAGTAAATGTATGCAAGTGAAAAGATACACTTTTGTGGAAGAAAAAAATTGAACTTTAGGGGGCACTGTTTACTGTTTACTGTTTAGTTAAGCACGGTTAACTTTCAAGTTACAGTGAAGTAGAAAATGTATGAGAAAGAATGATCTCAAAAGTGCAATTTTCTATTAGGGAGAAAAGCTTGCGGCATATTGTTGCTCTATTCATTGGTGTATTCAATCCTGCTAAACACGATTGGGACAAAGTCCCATTTGAAAATAAGATTTTATTTTGTTGTAGCTTAAAATTTCAGTGTACCCAGATTAAGACTTTGAGGACAAAACAGAACTGAACAGTGTACCAGTGTACCAGTAAGCGAAGCATCACACAGTATTGTGGTTTCCAAACTGGAGCTGCAAAAATCCTGATTATTATGAGGTAACAAGAAAGAACTATGTGTATCTAGTGTCCACTAGGAATTTTATGCACTCTGGTAGCTCAAATTTGGTTGCTCTGATTAGTACTGTCTTTCATGGAATAAGGAGTGCTGTAGTTATTATAAGGCAATCAATTTCAGGTTGAATTCTCATAAGATGTGATATATTGACTTTACCTGTTGGTGCTTAAGATGATCAAATGTGATAAGTTCTGAATGTTACTATGCTATTCCATGGTTAGTTGAAAATTAACTCCACAACATGATAAATTTCAGTTCATGACACTTGATTAGAAAATTTACAATGCAAAAACACATTAAAGCAGGGAGTTTTCAGAAGTCCTAATGAAAGAGCAGGGTTTTTTAAAAACACCTTTAATGGTTGGAGCAGTGGGATGGGGAGGCAAGAATCTATATTTAACTTTTCATTTTACAAAGCTGTCTATTCATATAAATTGGGCATGACATTTTAAATTATATGTGAGACATTCTGACAGCATACTTAAGTCTTATTTTTTAAAAAATAAGACCAAACAGAACATGTTGGAAAAAATCCAGTTAACATACATGACCCTACTATATCAATGTCACTATGATACTACGCAAACCTAGGATGTGTATGGAAAACAGAATGCATAACCTCTGACCAAGTTTGTTATGAATTCTGACTTCTACAAATACAAAGTGGCAGCTACTTCAGACTTTATTGTACTTTATTACAGCAAACAGTGTTTTTGTTAATGGGACATGTACAATTGTGTGCATGGGAAATTGTGGCACATGCAGATGGACTTTTGGCATAGCACATTATGTCAGCAAAGCAGTTGTCACCTACTAGTGCCAAGGTAATTCATTCTCAACTAGTATGTATTTCATGTACAAAAGAGGCAAGAAAGGAGAAATAATAAGAGTTGGGACCATTAACAAAAGATGGTGGGGCATTCAAAAGATTAATGGGAGGATGTATTTGGAGAGTCACATTAGATGGGCTAATCTTCTCAATCTGGGCAGCCTGCCAGAAACATGACTTTAATTCCTTGAGCTGTTAGTAGTTAGCAAAGCAATTGTTGGAAATTCTACAAGATGAAATTCATCCATCTAGAGCAGAGGTGGGGAACAATGGCCCTTTTAGGACTTGTGGACTTCAACTCCCAGAATTCCTGAGCCAGTCCACAAGTCATAAGAGGGCCATCGTTTCCCACCCCGATCTAGAGAATGGCTGATTATCAACCTGATCTGCTTGACCATTGACTTAACAAGATGGAGGAAATGGAATAAAGCTCTGGCTTTTTCTACTTGCTGAATCTTCAAAAGTATTCTTTTTTTTTTGCTTAAAATTAATGTAAAAATAGCTCTTTTCTGTGAACAAGCATTATAAGGTCAGTTCGCTAGCCTGCTCATGCCAACATAAAATATTTTTGTCATTTAAAAAATAAGATATCAGCCCTATTGGATCACTTTGGAAGTAAGCCATCTCAACATGTAAACTGGGAGTTACCTAGATGGGGCCTACTGTCACTCACAAAATATGACACTACTGGAGGGCTCCATGTTTTCAGTATGAATATCTGAAGGGAGGGAGTGACTTTATTTTTTATTTCCCTTTATCATTTTCTCTTAATAATTACACATACCCTTTACAACTCTATTTACTGGATATATAATAAAGCTCTACATGGTGAAAGAATCGATCATTTATATCCTATCTAAAGGAGCCATCTCTTTTGTAAGAGGTCGTGTATACAAGGATAAGGATCTAACAAAATTAACATTTGCAGTATAAAAAATTAGTATTGAGTATCCATTCTCTAATCTTTTCACAATGATAAGCTATATAATACAGAAGAAGCATTTTACTATGTAAGAAGAAACACACTATATTGGACATAGTGTATCAACAGCTTTGTAAGCTTTTGATTTCCCTGATTTTCCCTTGAATAATACAGATTGAAAGAAGCAGTAGAAAATTCAAGTTTCATTTTGGATCCAGATCTGGACTGGTGAGCAAAGAAGAAATGGTTTGGGATTCAGAGTTAGAAATGCAGTCAAGCTTTAGGATTTAATGTTTGCAGAGGCTAGAAACGTAGTCTTATCAAGGTATTTGTACAAAGAGAGATCAGTCTTTTAAATATTCATTTTATTTAACATTGAATTCAAAGGCATGCTTCTCAAATATAGTTTATCC